TGAAGCACAGACTTTCTTCCTTATTTTGGGAACTTGCATTCAGGTTTTTCATGGGACAGAAAAGGGTAGAGTTTTCTGTATGAATATAAGCCAAAAAAATGTGATGGAGAACAGACTGGACGTGTTTCCCTTTGCTCATTCCCCATGGAAAACGTTAATTGCCATTTCCTCAAATATGTTAATGTCTTGCATGCACCCTTTAAAAAAAATTTCCACTTGATTTTCCTGCCTTTCATCAGAGGCAGGTACTGGAGGTAGGGAGGGGCCCATTAAACTGGGTGTCTGTGTAAGTCTCTTGAAATTCATGTTAGGAGTAGGGCAGAGAGAGAGATATGGTCTGAGGTGAGGGATTGTGGTTTTATGGGAGTGAAGCTGGATTTCTAAATGGTATCTTTAGTCACAAAAAGGCTTTTTGGTTCCCTTTCCCTTCATTCTGATATTTATTTTTTTTTATCTTACCGTTACTGAAAGATTCAATATAGCTGGAATAGGTTGTCTTAAGAAAATAGATTGTCTTAAGAAAAAGAGTAGTTGTCTTAAAAAGAAATAGAAGTTATGATTAGTTGCATGTACCTCATAATTCTAGGTATGATCCTTGCAGGGAAGAGTACGCAAGCACTTGAATGTCACTATATACCTGTATGTTCAGTATGCATGTTGTAATTTGCCTTTTGCCAACTAGTTTGATAGTAAATGTGGCTCATTTGAATTTTTACAGAAGTGGGTGTGAGCTTGGCTGAAGCATATTTACTTAATAGAATGAGTGCTCAAGAATATTTTTAAACTGGAGTTTATCCCGTTCTAGTGTGGAACTTCATGCCGTTCTGACATGACTCCATCTTAGTTTTTCTTAGCAGTAGGTGACTTGACCTTCATATTCCATATTTTGATAAGGTGATGATAGAAGGAGAAAATAAAGGACAGGTCAAGTTGGTATTTTGGAACTGGAGAAGGAGAGGCTCAACTTCCAAGGAGTTGTTGTAATCTGTAGCCTCTTCAAAAAGCATGAAAGCTAACATTTACTTGTTCCTTTTTTTCTTCTTTTTTTCCACCCCTTAGGAAATACTGTTGTGCTGAGGAAGAAAACGGCTCCCTGCTCCTTTTTTTTTTCTTTTTTTTTTTTCCCCCCTCCTCTCCTTTCTTCTTGCCTGAATTAGAAGCTCCAGGAATGCGCTAATTGGCGGCGGCCTCTTCAGAAAGGTAAGAGGTAATTGTTATCTGCTTTTTGAGGTGTCTTGCCTGCTCAGCTCCTTCTGGAAAGGAGGGTGATGTTAGAAGAAGCTTGTCTACATAGAGTTTAGACAAGTCTTCTGGTTAATGTGGATTGCCCTTCTAACAGTGTGATGCAAACAGAAGCTTCCTGTGCTTCTCGCTCTACTTCTATGTGCAGGATACAGTCCCTTGGGAAAAACTAGAAGACAAGATACATTTTAAATGTTTGCAGAGAAAAACTTATGTAACTGTTACATTGCAGACTGATGAACTAAATCTTTGAGTATCAGCTTAGATGAACAGACATTGAGTTAGGTCTGGAGAAGCAAAGTGGAATTGTGTCTCAAAAAGTGCTTCTTATTATCATACATGTACATCTAATCAGATAAATACAGATTTTTGGTTGTTTAGTTGTGTTGTTTTGTGTTGGGTGTTTTTTGTTTTGTTGTTTTTTTATTAAAACCTGATTGTCTTCTCTGGGGTCCTTCATAGTTTCATGGCTGGTTGTACCACTGGCAGATAAGATAGGAACCGGCTGGAACCCCAGCTCTAGCTCTGAATGGTGTGTTTTGTGAAGAGTTGGAAACAGATAGCAATTCCTTACCTCTCCAGACTTTTTTTTTTTAGTTTTGGGCAGAAGGGCAAAATGTGGTGGGTGAGAGTTCAAATGTAGTGCCTTTTTTTGTAATACTTCTAAGCAATTAAATTTTGTAGTTATCTCCTGATAACTACATGTGATCCACATGTAATCCATGTCCGTCTTTCCACTTCAAGACATTCAATTTATGTGTCAGGATATATAAAGTACAAAAAATTAGTTCTGTGATTCACAGAGCATCCTGAGCTGCATGAGTAGACTCAAGTCATTTGCTAGACAAATTGCATATGTATTTTAGTACCAAAACTCAGTGTTTAGATTTGTATTTGCTTAGGAACCGGCTGCAGCGCTTTGAGATGTCATTTCCCATTCCATCTTTGCGATAGACATTAATGCTCCTTGTAGTGGAGGCAATATCTCCTGTCTAGACCTCCGCCATTCCAGTTCACAGTTGATGTCTTCACTTAAACCAGCTCTGAGAACGGGTTTATGCTAACTTGCTAGGCTCTCATTTGGGGAGGCCAATGCGTGATACAAATTTTTCTGCCAGATTTGCTCTGTGGTGCTAACCTTTGTGAAGGGTTCGGGAAGGCAGTGCGATGCAATAATGTCTTAAATTGCCCCAGTGAGATTTGTCAGAGTTCATTTGTCAGGCCCCTCAGACTGACTAAGTACGCTAACTTATCAAGGATAAGCTGCAGACAGGTAATGTGCCTTGGGATGTTCTCCATCTCATTCTTGATGGTGCAGAGGCAAGCTAAGTCCACCAGCTGCCTGGCTACCTTCTGCAATAAAGCTAATGACCTAATGGGCAAATGTTTCTTGGAGACCTTCAGCTGAAGCAGAGACAAGGAGAAACATACAGACCAGCTAAAGGGTTCTCAAGGAGTTTGCAATTTCCCCAGGGCTCCTTCTATGTAATTATCTGTCTATCGCTTTGTCTCCTATCTTTTAATGCAGGAGGAGTGTCAGACTCCAGGCCGCTAATCTTTGTTACTGTGGAAAGGCTGGTTACGCTCCTCCTCTTGCACTTCAGAAATGGCAATCGCTGGTCCCCAGCTGGTTCCCTGAATCTAACTTAAAAATGGATGATAGCTTTTCTCCTTGGTGCCAGACTAAATAATGCAGCTGCCTGTGCTGTTGCAGGCAGGCATTGCCTCTGCCACTGATGCTGCAGCATGCTGAGAGGAGGAGCCCGCAGAAGCTGCCTTGTGGCCTCTGAACCTGTTTTCTCCCAGACAAGTGAAGGCTCTGTAAAATTCCTTTGAAACACAGACTTTTGGGGCACACTGAGATGTGGGAGGCTTGGCTGAGCTGCAGGTGTGGAGGAAAGCCGCTATTAAGATTCGTAGCTCCAGCTGAGTTTTTGTACAGTTTCTGAATGCCTTCAAACTCCCTGGGTTGGGGGCTGAGGGAAGCACAAGCCTTGCAAGCTGTTTTGCAGGATCGTGGGCATCAGTTGTTGTTATTGCCTCCCTCCGAGCACGCGTCTTACGCAGTGATGTGCAGCGGAGACAAGTGCCTCTGCTCAATTCATAGGGTCAGCTGAGAGGCTGTGCACAGTCCGCTGCCATTTCTCTCTGGCTGGATGCATCTGTTTGTCCCTCTTGCACGGCACTGGAAACTTGGAGGGGATTCCCTGCCTGCTGCTGCCCTCCTCCTTCCCCTGCATCTGCTTCCCGAGTTGCAACATGTCAGATGGGTTGTCCCTCCGAAACTGGTTTGGAAACGGCTCCAGCACAAACACCTTGTCTCCGTGCGCTCCTTTCCGTCCTTGCGAGGAGAGGGAAACTGTCCCTGTGTTGGACAGGGTCCCTTTCCCAGCTGCTGCAGCGACTTGCGTGCCCAGGAAATGCATGTTGCTAAACTCCTTTATGGTACCTTTATAAAACATGCTTTAACTGTCTGCAAATGTATGGTATTTAAGCAGCAGAGTCTGTATTATCAAATGCAGTCATGCAGACTGTATTCCTCTGGGTGAAAAGCTCTGGGAGGAGAGACTGGATGTGATAGTGAAATTTGAGAACCAAAGCAAAAGGAAATTCTTGCCCATGTGTTGGACTAGAGCAGGTTCAGGAAAGGTGGAGGACGGGGAAGGATATACCCCTTCCCTGATTGGAAATGTTGAAGGGGGATAGAAAGGAGGGGAGAGGTAGGGCAGGGACAAGGCAACAAAAGATCAGGCTGGCTAGTGGCCCACAGTTTGCTGTGTTTTGTTTGCTGCCTTTATGCTGTGCTTTCCTCCCCCATTTCCTCTAACTACATTTGGGCAAAGATAACTTTAAATTTTTTTGTTCATTGAAAAAGCAACCTTACCTCTGTTCAGATTCTTTCAGAAGTTGTGTTTCTTATCAGTGCATCTAGAATGATGATTTTGCACTGACTTTTGAAAGAACTTTTATTTCCCTCATTATTTCCCCCTGTGTTCCTGTCTCATTTGTATCAACCTGAACCATCTCCAAAGGGAAGGTGATGCTGCTAGCTAACATTTCAGGTGGGTGACCCTGTGTATGTTAAGCAGCATGCCTGTAATAACTTAACTTGTCAGTGGGAAGCTTACCCTTTTTGTATTTCTCTTCTCGTATATAAATCAAGTTCACAGCTCTTGAGCCTTTGTAGTGTTTCAACAAAGTGTTTGTTTCAAGTCTTGGATTTTTATTTTTTTTTTTAACCCCAAATCCTTTGAGATAAGTTTGGGGTTAGGATTTTTCATTCAGTGACTGTATTAGGTAAAATGAAGTGTCTGTCAAAGCTACGTTGCACCGTATGAGAGGAGGACAGGTTCTTCCAGAGTCCTCAGTTTGCAAAGCCTTAACCATCTCCCAGTTTAAATCAGGACTTTACCACTGCTTAAGGCCTTTAAGTACTTAATTAACTTTATGTTAACAATGAGCCTGTGCTCTCTTGTTTTTTAATGAAACCTTTGATATTTTTCTGATTTTCATTTCATGAATGTTACAGGTTTTAATTTTTTGTTCTGATATGGAGAAGGTTTAAATCTCAAACTTTATTGGAGAAGAAAAACAATTTCCATGCCAGCAGTGTGTTTTTCAGGTCATTTTTATGTTTAGACTCTGTAGAATCTCATTACTATGTAGTGTGTGTGTTTGGGGGGGAAATCGGAAAGCTGGATGCGTATTTTGTACCTCCAAAAAGATTGTTTTAAACATCTTTTGGTTTTAAACGCACAGGAAGCGGGGAGTTCAGAGCTGAAATTCACTTGTTCTTAAATCTCTTCTTTTGTATACAAGGTCTAAGAAATACTGAGAAGCTGAGTAAAAATCTGGCATATCTAGGCACAAGAAGCTAGGTTAAAATGGTAGTAAGAGAATTTTCTTATCCTTTCAGTTGTCTGGGTCAGCCCTTTTCTGAGGGCAGACTTCACAGGTCCCACGAAGTGAATAAGTGAATAGGGTTGCGGGGAGAGGTGGTGAAAAGACTGCAAGGGGTTGCCTCAGGGCATCTGTATCTGTATGGAGGGCTTGAAGGTATTGTCTTTCCCATGTAGTGTAGCTATGGCAATGACCATTTGTTGTCGCTGGTTAAAACCCTTCAGTTCTTTAGTGTTAGCCGAACTAGCTCTGGGTCGTTTGGCTTTCCTCCAGTTTCAGCAGTTATGGTCTGCCTGCCTCAGTTGTCCTTAATGCAGTGGAGTTTTCGGTACTCCTCGCGGTCGTCGTGTTGGAGGCGTACAGACCTACTTCTGAATATAAAACTGAGTTTGTTTATTTAGGAATAAGTCCTACGTGGAGTAGCATGTTCCCTTGTGCTGGGGCTTCCGCTCCTTCCCCGCTGCACCATCGTGACAAACTGCAGTTGCATTGTTGCTCGACTCCTCTTTGCATCTGCTCCCAGGGGTTGAAGGGATGCTTCCGGAGGCTAGATGTCTGCCTGCCATCACCCCTGGTGTGTAAGTAATTGCCCTGAGCATGGAGGTGGCTTCTTATGCTCTCTGGAGCTTTGCAGGCCTGCTAGGAGGAGCTCTGGCTTGAGGGACTTGCTGTGCCTGCTGCAGAGCGGTGGGAGTGCAAACCGACAGTCTGCAGGAAGGAGTTCTTGGAAGGAGCCTGTGGTGCTAATGCATAATTAGTGGCTGAGAGGAACAAAGTGTAACGCATGGGTATCAGTGTAGGTGGCAGGTTTTGGTATTTTCCTTTTGCTTGTATTACCTGTTAGTCCCTCAAAGAAAGCTGGAAGGCCCAAATCAGATTTGAATGTTGTTGTTGAAGTTAGCAATGGAAAAAGACCTGGTTTGTTGCCTGATTTCCTTACAAGCGATGACTGTTCTCTTCTGCTAGGGAGCAACCCACCTGGGTGCATACTGCTCCATCCATCCTTCAGCTATGCAAAGATGCATGTGAATTCCTTATATATTTCAGTAATTTGCCTG